GTCAAATACAGGACACAGATTAATGTCAAGGGCCACAATAGTGTGGCTGGAGCCTGCTTATTGACAGGAATAGCAATACCAGACCCTGTAAAAGTGTCATCAACAATGTGGCACCACTGATAACCTAAAGAGTATTGTCAGAGGTCTGGTATAGTCAATCTGCTAGTAGCATGTGTTGTTGTCTCTCTCACTGTGAGACAATGGGTCTTTTTCTTTTTTCTTTTTTGATTCTTCAGCTAAGACAGCAAAAGAGATGATTTATTGTACACTTATTACACTCGACCACAACTCAACACAGAACTAGTCAAGTGTGTCACAGGTCTAGTGCAAAGGACCAACAGGGACTGTTTTGGTGTGATGAGCAAGGTGGGACTCTCAGAGGTTGTCTTGATAATCGGATGGTGTGGAGTTCTAGATTCTTTGAGAGACAAGTTAGCATGCAGTCTGACAACTTGTACCAGCATTCCAAGCCTCTGACATTTCATGTTTCTGCTTCTGTGGCCTCCACGGTTGCCTCTGCCTCATCTTTCTTCTTTTGCACTTTAGCCTGCGCATTGACTTCTTCCTCCACTTGGCTCGCATGGCATGGAGGTTTCTAAGAAGATGGCACTAAAGCCGAGAGACAGGTCTTATTCTAAGACCCACAAGCCTGAGACAAGGTGATACCCTTTGCATCAGGAGCATCAAGTCCTTTACTTTGTGTTTACTCTGTAATGATAGAAATGTTCCTGTGTTTGGCATGATACTGGATTTAGCACCAGTAGTAGCAGTCTGAGCAGTGCGAGCTTGGTTCCAATTGGTCTCATCAGCCAGTGGGTCCTTACCATGAGCATCTAGGTGACCCAGATGGTTTGATCAGCAACTACAATTAATCTCTACAGTTTATGGACAGTCTGTAGTATATCATCTTGTAGTTTTCCAAGTGGCAGAACAAACATGCTATTGGTAATGCTTGAGCCAGTAAAAATATAGCAAGGTTTTCAAGGGGAATATTGGCCAGATCTGTGAGAATGTTCTTGAGTTCTGCCCATAGAACAGGGCAGCCACACCATTTTCAGTTCTGTGTAGGCGTCACTGAGGTTCTGTGCAGCAGCCCACTGGACACTATAGGGGGTTTCAGCTTAGTTGAATTATCAGTGAACCAGGTCAAGGCATTTAGGGGAACCTCTGTGAGTCAGAGGCCTCACTGAGCTAGCAGCTTTGGTTTAAGTTTCAGAATGGAACATCAGACTTTCCCAAAGAGATAGCTGCTACTTTTTTTTTTTTTTTTTTTAGTGTAAAGTTGAGATGCCACAGGCTGGTTGTATTCTTGAATATACCACATCCATGTGATGAGAGAGGCTAGGTGGGCCTTGCCTACCTCCTTAGTCATTGTGTTTGAGTCAACCTATTCTCAGATGGGAATCTTTTCAGAAGAGGTATACCTAGCAGCTGTGTCAGGGAGGCATTGAATCGAAACTGAAGAGGCACCTCCATAGGAGGCTACTCCTTTTGCCAGAGGCTGTGGTCATTAAAATCATCTGTGCACAGATACGTTTGCTCAAAGGGTCATAAGGATTGTAGGGCTCTAAAGCTACTAGTGCCTTTCTACAGAGCTCTTCCCAGTGGGCATAATCTTCTCCGGAACTTATGAGCATTCACAGTATAGGCATGTAAAATATTAATACCAATTATACATTCAGCAGTGGAAGCTCAGTGTACAACAGTAGTTCATTGGATGGTCCAAAAAAGGCTCACCCAAAAGTTTACATTAGCTTTCTCTCCCCACTGTGAACCCTACCCCAAAGCACAGGACAAGTATGAATGTGACCGGGCTTCTATATCCAGTAGAGCCAGCCATAGATTTTGAGTTTGTCCCCTTCCCAGAATTACCTAGCATGCCCAGGTGTGTTTTGTCTTCAACCTTCTTTGGGAATTTGGAGAACTTGGCCCCACCACTAATCATCTTTCTCTTTAAAGCAGTTGAGGTTGAGCTGTGAAGGAACCTGGGGAAGAGCAACTCTGTATCAGTAAACTGGGCATTTATTTTGTTTACCTGCAGTGTTTTAGGTCCACCCCAAGCCCTATAATTCTGTGGCAAGGTCTTCATTGTGGATATCATCCATATCTGTTTGAGAACATCTTGATTCAACAGCTATCACCACATTGCTTTCTGGCGGAGGCAGTGGGTTTTGTAACCCTTTGGCTGACATGGGCTTGATCTGCACAGTGTTATCATTGTTTTTTAGGAGTCCACCTTAATATGGGTTATTTGCAGCTCCGTTGTCAAGTAATATGTCTTAAATTCTTGCTAGTTTTCAATATTAGGACTTCAGGAGTTTTCTAAGACTGCAGGGCTAACAACAAGAATTACCTAGATTCAATGGACTGGTTTCTGATTCTCCAGTTCCCTTCATCATTTAAAAGCCAAACCAGTACAATAAGAGCCTGTAGACTGATTGGTGGCCAAGGGAGTTTGTCTAAGGGAAATTTCCCCAAGAATTCCAAGGTTTCTTATAGCAGACAGGACCTGCTACCAAAAAATGCTGATACCTTTTATTGTCATTTCAGAAGGATTGAATGTTAACAAAATAGATTGCAGGAGGAGCTAAGCAGTAAGATAGTCAGCTGTTGCCTTTCTTCAGTGAGCATTACGTGCCGAGCAATGTAATTTCATGCCTCTCGTCTTCCAAGCAAACTAGCCAGAGTTCTAAAGATTGACCTGGTTGTGCCCACAATGGTTGCATGTTTTCCTCCTTTCACACTCAGTGTAGATGATGTCTCTGTTAACTGTTGTTCAATAGGGATCAGAACCTTATGTGTTCCCCCTCCCTCCAGCAGACAAATCTTGGTACTAGTTGTTCATGGAGCAGACCTTCTGAGGCTGTCAGCTTGATGAGAAGGACTTGGCAATAATCAGGGCATCATTCAGGTTGTTGTCTTTGAACGTACCTATTTCCTGCTATTTAGCCTGAAACTTCCTCTTTAATTCAGTCTCATCAACGGGCAATAGTGTGGAGGACCATTCATGGCCTAGTTGGCCATATAATTTGGTTAACATGTTCATTAGTGGTATGTAAGGACTTTTCTCAGTCCCTGTTAACTGGCCTTTCCTTCCGTTTCTAGAAGTCTTTTCCCAAAACTGATCCTTGCCAAAACTGTCAGCAGTTGTGAAGGGCCTGAGATTTTACCTTTACAAGCTAACAAGTTAGCCTACTGCAATTTCATGGATTCATGAGATTCCTGGAACAGAAACAGAGGATCATCCTTACTTATGGCAGTAGCAGTAGTCAGAGTATCATCATTTGTGCCAGATACTGAGACCCAGTTTCCCCAGGTACTACAGAGAGAGCCAGATAATGCCTGCAACCATAGTTGGGTGCTTTAGAGGAAAGGGACTCCCAGTTTAGGGACTAAATTTTTTTTAGTTTACAGAAAAGCTTTCTAACCTTTGCACTGGAGGGTTGCATCATCTTTGTTATATTGGACAGTAAATTGCTTTTTGCTTTACAAGGAGACAACTATGTTTTTTTCTAAGGCTGTTTACTATATAAACAGTACTCTATAATAAACAAAGGGCATTAGTGCGGCTTCTCACAAGATATGCAAAAGTGCTAGATACTCATGGGGGAGGTGTCTCCTTTCACTTTATTTTGGAGTTGGTATAGCATTTTTGATTTCCCAATCAATTAAAAAATTCTGGTGAAATAAGACAGAACTGCCATAATTGCCTCTTACCTGGTTTCACTGCCTGTTGTCTTGTTCTTTCTGTTCTCAGTGTCTCTTCTAGAGGAATCTTCTTAAAATGCAGATATGATCATGTCACTCAGATTTGTCATTGCTTTCCCATTACTGTTAGGACAAAGCTTAAGTTGTTGAGCAGTTGTGCAATTATTTCTCATATGCTGACTACTACCCAGTTTTATTTATTTCATTTATTTCTTTTTTTGAGTTGATCCCAAAGTGCTGAGATCATAGGTGTGAGCCACCATGTCCAGCTCGACTACTATTCAATTTTAAAATATTGGCAACTAAATTTTAAAATATATTTTTGGCCAGATGTGGTTGCTCATACTTGTAATCCCAGCACTTTGGGAGGCTGAGGCAGGAGAATTGCTTGAGCACAGGAGCTCAAGACCAGATTGCATAACATAGTGAGACCTCATCTCTACAAAAAGCAAAAAATTTAGCCAGGTGTGGTGATGTGAGCCTGTAGTCTAGCTACTTGGGAGACTGAGGTGGAAGGGTGGCCTGCACACAGGCGGTTGAGTCTGCAGTTTGCTGTGATCATGCTACTGCACTCAAGCCTGAGTGACAGAGTGAGACTCTGACTCAAAAAAAAAAAAAATTATTAAAAAAATTCATAGGCCAGTACTAGGTAGGTTGCACCAAACAGGTGTGTAGACTACTTGTTGACAGTTTATTACCTCTGCTCTTGTCATTTTTTCTTATCCTTTTGTCTGTAGCATGTTATTCTTTTCTGCCATTAATAATTTCCATATCTGCCTCTTGTATCCCTATTCATCCTTTAAAATCTGCCTCTTCTGTACAGGCTTTAAGTGAACCCTGTTCAATCTAGTTAGTTGTTTTGCTGTCAACACCATTATAATAATTTCAAATAAACTGTGTGTGTGTCATTATAGCACTTACCTCATTGTGTTGTAATTACTGATTTTTTTTTTTGGTCTGGGGTCCCAATGAACAAATAAAGTGTAAACTACTAAAAAGCAGGACTCCTCTCCCCTTCTACTTGTATCAAGTCTTTAGGACAGAAAACTGAGAATTGTTTTAGAATCAAATACATTAAATTAGTTGCTTTTAATCTCCTTTAAATATTCCCTACTTTTAGCTTTGTATGATTTGCTTAATTTTGAAGAGAAAGATATAGTATCCACTGGAACATAGACGTGTGGTACAGTCTTATGGTCCAGCCTATATATGGTCCAATATATATGAATGTCACATATATTATTTACTATGCCAAATAATGTTTTCTTGCTTTGTTCAAATTTAAAATATAGACTGTGGATATTCATAAAGAGAAAGTGGCTCGAAGAGAGATTGGTATTTTAACAACAAATAAGAATACATCAAGAACTCATAAAATAATAGCACCTGCAAACATGGAGCGCCCTGTAAGGTATATTCGGAAACCAATTGACTACACAGTTCTGGATGATGTGGGCCATGGTGTCAAGGTAAGCATTTTATTTTGCATTAACTTGAACTGATTTTCATATCCAGTAAGTATTTTGGATAGGAAGGAAATGTGATAAAGATAATTTTCTTAATTAATAGATTCTCTTTAGCAGCTATCATTGTTTTTCACAGAATATTTAATATTAGTTATTTATTTTACTAAGCTTGGGGCAGAATTTACTTGCAACTGTATTAAAAAAGATAAAACTTAAAATGGTTATTCATTAAATAAACCATTTTAATCTTAAACTAGTATTATAAAATTGTGTTGTGAATGTGATGTCCTGCTTTCATCTCTATTTATTTAAAGATAAAAATGTTTAAAAATAAAAATCTATATGTTGTCCAAAATTGGTTTAGAAAAATAATTTATAAATATTTTTATTACTAAATATGTGTATGTGTTTGTATATCCGTGTACCTGTATGTGTTCATATATAAATCCAGCAAGTTACTTAAAAAAATGAAACTTGTATGTAATTTTGTTCTGTATAGCTGTACTCCCCCCCAAAAAAAACCCCCCAAAGCACCACAGGCTTTTAGAAAAGAGATTATTTGTTGCCCATGTTCATTTCTAAGGATGGCAGAACTAACTGATCTTGAAGAATTCCAGTAATCCGTCAATTTTTTGGTATTCATGGGCCATTTTGCAAGCTTCTAGAGTGATCTAAATTCTTTAGCCATCTCTGCTTGAATAAACTAACTATTCCTTTGGAATGTGGTAGTCCCTTTCTAAGAGGACTATTATTTGACTTTGTTTTTGGTCTTCACAATTTTTAAAACAATTTTTAAGGAGTCAACTGGAGTCTTATTTACTATGCCAAATAATGTTTGGCATAGTGAACATATTTGCTGATTGGTCTGACTGGTGCAGCTGCACTACTTAATAGAAAAGGCTGAGAGAGGCTGACGGTTACACCATTGCATAGTAACATGGAGTTCAAGTTGAGTTTTTATTCCCAATCTAATTATCTTTATTCTTTCATTTGAGACCAGCATATACTTGAATGCCAATTTTGTTATTTTCTTGTTTACTTGAAACAACAAATGAGGGAAGATGTGTGGGCATGTTTAGAATATTTTCTGTTATTTTAGGGTGGTGTTTAGTGTATTTAATTTATGTACTTTATTATAAGATATATATCAGTATATTAATGTACTGTAATAAGTATATACATATACTGTAATACAATAAGATATACATTAGTATATTTTCTCTTCATGGAGCCTAATAATGTTACTCAAATTTAATTTTCTAAATCCAGGGTGAAATGTAGTGTTTTAGGTAGGGTTCCAGATATTGTTTTCAGATAAAAGTGAGCAATATTATTTTAAACAAACGTAAAGAATATCATGATATAGTTTCTACAAATGAGAGTGTATTAAAGAGAAAGCGAATTCCTCTTTTGTATGATTTCCTGTAATGTTGCCTTTGTAGTCACCTGAAAAATGGTAGTACTTACTGAGAATGGCAGATGTTATGAAAAGAACTTGAAACTCTTCAAATCTATAAAAAGTTAAACTCTAAAACCTGAAGATAGTTTTTTCTTAATGGTATAGTAAAAGTTGTAATTCTTTAGGATGGTGCACATTGTTTCATGTGTGCAGAGTAGTCATCGATCATGAAGTAGCCTTTAGGATCAAAGCAGTGTTTCTTCAATTTTGGATTTTGGCTAAACTGTTTCAGATGAAAACTTAGAACTAAAACTACCTATATCTTCCAACTAATGTTGGCCTGCTTAGGATTTGCGTTTATAAGCTAGAAAGAAGAGGGTTTTCCAGACCCTGCTTGCTTATTCCTTAGTTAGAATCTGGCTAAGCCATTACTGTGCATGGTGAATTTGTGTTTTTGTTTTTTAAATTTTTGTTTTTTAAGAGACAGAATCTTGCTATGTTGTTCACGCTATCCTTGAATACCTGGGCTCAAACGATTCTTTCACCTTGGCCTTTCACTGTAGCCAGCTGATGATTTCTTTCTTTCTTTTTTTTTTATTGAGTTGGCGTCTCACTCTGTCGCCCAGGCTGGAGTGCAGTGGCATGATCTTGGCTCACTGCAGCCTTGACCTCCTGGTCTCAGGGGCTCTGTCCACCTCAGTTTCCTGAGTAGCTGGAACAACAGGTACATGCCACCATGCCTGGCTAATTTTTTGATTTTTTGATTTTTTTGTTTGTTTGTAGAGATGAGATCTTGCAATGTTGTCTAGGCTGCTCTCAGAACTCCTGGGCTCAAGTGATCCTCTTGCCTTGGCATTCCAGAGTGTTGGAACTAAAGTCTTGAGCCACTCAGGACTGGCCAATAATTTCATTTTTAAACCCCAAGAAGCTAGGCTCTTTTTTGATTTTGGAAGAAACCAGTGTTTTTGAATTTTAACATTTGCAGTTTATCACTTTTTAAAAAAAATAATGCTATTCTGCCATTCAAGTAATGAATACTCAGCATTTATCATTCAATAAAGTACTAGGTCTTGTACACTGATGTGTTAAAATAGTTTTACATCTAATATGTTATGGTGTTTGTATTTAAATGAAAGTATTTTTTAATCATCTGTGATTCAGTTGGATTAGTTGTGTGGGATAAAATGTTGGCCTAAGAAATAATTGGGCATATGTGAAATTGGCACAATTAAGTAGTGATTTCCTTATGAATATATTTCTTTTGAAAAATATGTGAAGCACGTGAGTATTTCCCCAGTACTTAAGGATATCTTTTGCTTTACAAAATATTTGAAATGGGACTGGATACAAGCTTATTAACATGAATTGATTAACTGTAAATGCAAACCTGTCCTATCAGATATAACTTATCTAGCATTAATTTCTACTTTTTCCCCCCCTTTTATTGCCAACGTAAAGTGGCTAAAAGCCAAGGTAAGAGACATTACTTATCATTTGATCCACAGTATTCCCTCTATATTGATAGAGGCTGCAGAGCCACTAAAATTTGAAAACTCTTCTTATGTCTGTCTGCTTTTCCCTGTAGGATTTATGTAGATTAAATCAACTCAAATTCAGTCAAATCAGCAACACCTAGCTTGGCAGTGTTAATATATCCAAGATATATTGACATCTACATTTATATAGGAACATTAATTTTGCTAACATTTATTGCTTTGCTCATTTTTCAATAGTTGCCTTGCTTTTGTTGACTTACAATTAGGAGGTTTCCCAGACATCATGTGTGACTTTGTTACTGAGTTGTTAGGAAAAAGGTTATTTTTCAGTTGGGTATTTTAGCAAATTGACAGCAAAATCTATAGCTTATATTTTTGCTCATATTTAAAAATTTTAGGAAACTCAGTGTTTGAATGCAGATAAGTTTGATCTCAGTGAAAATATTTAAAGTTAATATGTAAAATCTAATAATCTCATCTGTATTTTGCCATAAATATGAGTGACACAAAATAATCGGAAAAATCAAGTGTAAGTGGTTCCTTGACTTTTTAAAATGTAGTACCAAAGTCTTTATTAAAATTGTCTGGGAATCCTTATTTCACATTCTGATATTAAAAAAATAATACATGGTGTTAAAGCACCAAGAGAACAATTTGATATAAAAATAAAACCTTTCCCCCCCATATTTTAGCATGGAAATAACCAGCCTGCAAGAACTGGCACACTGTCGAGAACAAATCCTCCTACTCAGAAACCACCAAGTCCTCCCATGTCAGGCCGGGGAACACTGGGGTAAGAATTAACTGCATTTTATGAATTTGTATGGTAAAGGAAAAGATGTTTCTGTGACTTAAGTGGATCCTTGCCACAGGACCCTCTGTGTGACACTTCCTTTTACAGATTCATTTTAATTCTCACTTCTCTGAACAGAATCCAAAATGGATTTCCGCCTACTTTATAATATTTTCTATAGAAGTCTATACTAGAAATGTTTTTATATATGTGTAAATGGCATTTAAAAATTTTTTGTTCTCTATTAATTTTTAAAATGTAAATTTGACTTGTTTGTTTTAAATGGAATGACCACAGGATTCCACATATATCTTCTCGTGTATTCACAGTATTTTATTTATATGACCAAACTTTGACTAAATGGTCTACTTTGTGTGGTTTGGCTTTGTAGTCTGCAGCTCTTCTCTTTTCCCTATATAATGGCACCTGAAACTTAGGAGCTTCTTTACCTGGAGTACTTCTAACTGTGCTTCTGCTGCAAATTTTAGGCTCCTTCATACTAGTGTAGCTTTGTGAAGGCCAGTTGTAGAATTAGAAAAGGTAACCACTTGTGGCTTCATTCTTCCCAATTCTCAGTGTACTAAATACGTTGAATACTTGTCAAGATCTTATAGTTCTTCTTGTTCACAACAGGAACTATTATATTAGATTTCTTGTTTTTAGTGGAGAAGTTGTTCAATAATCCATTTTTTAAGAAGATTTTAGTTTTCATTTTCATTCTTTAAATCTGTCCCTGAAAAAAGCATGAAGTTATTAAACAGAAAAGTAAAAATTATTCATTGAGCAATTAATGATGCTACAAGTAGGATCTGTATGTATATTTCTATTTCCATATTGAGTTGGGAATAAATTGCAGCTTCCTTTGTAAAGAAATTTAGCTTCCTTTGTAAAAGACAGTGGTTTATGGGTGACTGAACTGGGAATAATGTATGTCTCAAAGTTTGATATTATTGTACATTTAAAAAATTTTAACCATTATTTTTAGAAAGAAGGTTAGAACTTTAAATTACCCTTTCCTATGGTTTTCCTAAGAAATGGTAAGAAATTTTAGTTTTCATGTTGAAGTAGTAAAATTCATATACCCCAATTAAGAACTTTTTAAAAATTATAAACTTTATTTATTAAAAAATCTTTTAAAATTCTGGTATACTTGGTCATAAAGGGACAGTCACAAATTGGGGGGGGTATTATTTTATCTTTCTTATTATTCCTTTCTTCACTTCTTTAGACGAAATACTCCTTATAAAACCCTGGAACCTGTTAAACCCCCAACAGTTCCTAATGACTATATGACAAGTCCTGCTAGGCTTGGAAGTCAGCACAGTCCAGGCAGAACAGCTTCTTTAAATCAGAGACCAAGGACACACAGGTAAACCTCTCAGGTTGAGTATTTGAACATCTGAGTATGGGTTTTATTGAATGGTGACAAGTTCCTATAAAGGTGTGGAGTAAAGGTGAAGTGCTATTCTAATGCTAATACCAATGTAAATGTTGGGGGGGGTAATGTATGTTTCTATAAATTTGTGTCATAACTTCTGGAGTGTTTTTTTTTTTTTTTTTAGATTTTAAAAATATTTCTTTATATTATTAATGAATTGTGTTTCCTTCTTTTGACGAAGGTACAGATATATATTTGGATCAGGCTAAAGAATGTTTTAAGATGGGCCAGGTGTGGTAATTTAGGCTTGTAATCCTAGCATTTTGTGAGGCTGAGGCACGAGTGTTGCTCAAGGTCAGGAGTTTCAGACCAGCCTGGATAGTATAGCAAGGCCCTATTTTTACAAAATCAAAAAAAAAAAAAAAAATTATCTGGTGTTAAAATTATCTGAGTAGTCCCAGTTACTCGAGAGGCTGAAGTATGAGATTGCTTGAACCCAGGCTACAGTGAGGCTGCAGTGAGCTATGATCATGCCATTGCACTCCAACCTGGGTGACAGAGCGAGACAAAAAAGAATGTTTTTAAATGGTCTTTTAAAAAGGTGCAAGGCAACTTTTCTTAAATACTTTTGGAGAAAAGATTAAATGTCATAGAAATTACACACCATGATTTACACTTTGAGGGATTGGAAGAAAGAAGATTTAGCTTTAATCCAAGGAAGACTTTTTTAAGAGAGATAATATACTAGAATATATTATTGTATATATTATTTAAAAATGTTCTTAGGACCAGGCATGATGGCTCATGCCTGTAATTCTAGTACTCTGGGAGGCCAGGGCAGGAGGATTGCTTGAGCCCAGGAGTTCAAGACCAGCCTGGGCAACATAGTGAGACCTCGTCTTTACAAAAAATACAAAAATTAACTGGGTGTGGTGGCATGTGCCTGTAGTACCAGCTATTTGGGAGGTTGATGCAGGAGGATCAGTTAATTCCAAGATGTAAAGGCTGTGGAAAGCCAGAGTCATGTCACTGTCCTCCAGTCTGGGTGACAGAGTGAGACGTTGAACTCAGTTAAAAAAAAAAAAAAGTCCTAAAAATCAGCTACCCAGTGGGTTTTTAACATATCTTCAGAAAAGCATACACTTTATTAAGTGATGGATAGATACACACTCATGTAACTATCCCCCGGATCAGAAAATGGAAAACTACCAGCAACTCAGAAGTCCCTGTCATGCTCTTTCCCAATTATTGCCTCATCCTTCTTTCCCCCAAAAGTAGCCACTTCAATTTCTGAATACTTTTATAAATCTAGGTAAATTTATTATATGACTTAATTTGCTTTATTCTTTATCTCACTGAATTACTTGGACAAAGAACCGCTCTGCTTTGATTTTTAGGTTGGTAAATTAGAGATAACTTAGCAAAATTATTTATAAGGCTTCAACTAAATAGGGTGTATCAAGCTATAAGATGCTAGGGTAATTGGTATTTATTGCTGTTGTCACTATTAGTAAATAAATTGTTAAATTGATAACTGCAGATACTATATCAAATTAAATTCAGTGAGGATTCAATGGTTCTCTTTTTATGTTTGTTATTGAATTACTGGATTACAGTATGGCTTCCTCTATAATGGAAGCATTGATAGTTTAATCACACTCAACAAGCATTTACTAAGAGTTATTAAATTAGTCATATACCAATAGGATACAGTTCTGTTTTTTTCAGGGACTCATTCTATTAAAATAGATGAATAAACTTTTTCTGTAAAGGGCCAGGTTGTCAATATTTTAGGATTTGAGGGCCATATGTTTTCTGCTGCAATTGCTCAGTTCTATCATTGTAGCAGAAAAGCAGCCATAGACAATACGTAAATGAATGGGCATGACTGTGTTCCAGTAAAACTTTATTTATGGCACTGAAATTTGAATTTTATATAATTTTAATGTGTTAGAAAGTAGTATTCCTCTTTTGATTTTTTTTTTTTTTTTTGAGTCAAGGTTTCACTCTGTTGCCCAGGCTACAGTGCAGTGGCATGCTCACAACTACTGCAGTCTCACCTGCTGGGTTCAGGTGATTCTTCTGCCTCAGCCATCCAAGTAGCTGGAATCACAGGCGTGTGCCATCATGCTCGACTGATTTTTTGATTTATTGTAGAGATGAGGTCTTGCCAAGTTGCCCATACTGGTCTCAAAACCCTGGTCGTGGGCAGTCCTCTAGTCTCTGCCTCCCAAAGTGCTGGGATTGCAGCATGAGCTACTACTTCCAGCTTGATTTATTTTTTTTTAACATTTAAGAATATTCTTAGCTCACAAGTTGTAAACATCAGGCAGTGGACCAGTTTCAGCCCACAGGCCATAATTTACCAACCTCTGTGTTAGAAGAAAGACACATAAATCAGTAGTTATAGACAAAAATAAGTATGAAAATATTCATGTATCTATGATGCAATGATGGCACATTGCTGTGTATTAATCACCTAGATTGAGGGAGTTAGGGAAGCCTTCACATTTAAGCTATTTTTGTTATGTAAGTTATTTTTCTCTTCCATTAACATGTGATGATAATCTGATTATAGAATGATATTGTCCAGGTGTTGCAAATCTTTGCTCTGTTGAGTTTCTGGGCTTATCAAGCAAATGATGTTGATTTTAAAACATAATATGCAAGGCTATATTTGTACACATGTATGTTTTCATAGTTGTATGTATATACTCACAGTACTGAAACAACTGGATAGTGCAAGATCTTATAACTTACTAGAAACAACTAGTGTCAAGTCTTACAGCCTACAAGATAATAGTTCCATAGAAGCAAAATAGGAAGCAATTGGTTGGAGTTTATCAGCAGCAATTATTTCAGAATGCCCACATGGAAGCTTCACTACTTTTTTGCTATTATGGTTATTTTCCAGAAAATTTTCCTGTTTTGTCTCCTTTCTTTGAGATGAGTGGAAATTTTCATATTAATTTCAGACTGGAATTGATTACCCTTTTAATTCTATAGCCTCTTGTATATTCTCTTTTGTGGTGTCTTTCATACTATTTTTAGTTTCTGTGTTCTCATGCCTATGATCTTGGTGACAGTTGTTGATGTCTACATTGTTCACTGTTCTTCATAAGGTTTAATAACACTTGTCAACTCGTACTGTAAAATTTTGTTGGCTGTAAATTTCTCAACAGAAATGATTCTGAGTACTGTATTATCATTATGTTGGTTTCAGATAGATTGAAAAGTAAGGTGAAACATTAAAACCACTTCGAGTGTTAGGGTTTAGATTTGCGATAAGCATTTAAAAAATTTCACAAGTTTTTGAGGTTTCCACATCCCTAGATTCAACCAGCCTTGTGTCAGAAATACAGTATTTGTGGCATGCAGGACCTGTGGGTTATGGAGGACCAACTTTTCTTATCAGCAGGCTCTGCTGGGTTAACTGGGAAGACTTGAGCGTCATGGATGTTGGCATGTGGGGGGAGGGTCCTGGAACCAATCCCCTGAGGAGACTGAGGGATGACTGTATGTCTCGTAAAAGGAGTGGCCTTGGGTTGATTATCACATTTAAAAAAATTTTTTTTTTAGTCTCTAGAATTAGATTTTTTCCACAATTTTTTCTTTCTTTTTTTCCAGTGGAAGTAGTGGAGGAAGTGGAAGTCGAGAGAACAGTGGAAGCAGTAGTATTGGCATTCCCATTGCTGTGCCTACACCTTCACCACCCACTATTGGACCAGGTTTGTTATTTATTAATCTGTGTTTAATATGTGCTGATATTTATAAGCTTTATTATGGAAGGCTGAAATAGCGTAATCATTGGTTAAAATTATTAATTACATTTGTGATTGTTGCTAGAATAAAAACTAATAAATTTAAAATTTTGAGATTGGTTTTCATGGTCTTTAGAATTTTGTCAGCTGTTTCTCCTTAGTGCATATTAAATAGCTTTGTTAAATAACTTTTTGGTCATTTTGCTTTGTAAATATATTTATTCTTTAGTATCAGTGGGGGATTGGTTCCAGGATGCTCATGATTAAAAACTGGAGTAATAATTGCATGTAACCTGCACACATCCACTCATGTACTTTAAATAATCTCTAGATTACTTCTAATACTTAATGCAGTGTAAATGCTCTGTAAATAGTTATTATGCAGTATCATTTAGGGAGTAATGACAAGAAAAAAGTCTGTATATTCTTAGAGATGCAACCATCCATTTTTTTGACCTGAATATTTTCGATTTGCTATTGGCTGAATATTGTGATAAGGAACCCATGGATGTGGAGGGCCAGATTTATTTGCCTTGAGCACTAGTCAAGAATGCATTTATTTCAAGAGCAGACCAATACTGTATGATACTCCAGCCAATGGATCAGTGTCTATAAAGGTGAATTGTATTTCAAAGAGTTTTCATATTGCTTTGTAGGCTAGTATCTCAACTCTGGTGTTTACTTGTTCTGTGACTTTACTACATTTATATGTGAATTCAGTATATATTTCAGTAAAAGGCAATGAATGTAAAATAAGATTAAAATAGAAAAAGTGTTTTTACTTTTTAGTATTAAAGAAATACTTGGATGGCATTGAATTAGCCCTTGGTTTTTAGTAAATGAAATGAGTTTTTTTTTATAGTGTTAAAAAATGTACATTTTAAAAGTATGATAATGAAAAATGTTAGGGAAGAAATTCCTGGCTTTTCAAGTATATTTTTGAAAAAGGAGAAAAGGCAGCTTATAAAAGCAGGTATATTTTATAGTTAATGCAGGTATAAACTCAGTGCCCATTTTAACCTAGTAAAATTCTTAGTCATTTGAACATGCTTTACCTGTGGTTATCTTTTTTCTTCTTTCCAGTACTTTGTACTTTCTTGCCATTTCAGAATGTTTAGTTTTCTTTTCTTGTACTCTGACCTGAATTATAAACTATTTTATTAGAAAACATATCTGTCCCTCCTCCTTCTGGAGCTCCACCAGCACCACCTCTGCCACCACTTCTCCCAGTGAGCACTGTGATAGGTGAGATTGCATAACCCTTGGAGCCATTGAACTTAACTTTGCATAATTCATAATAAACGCCTCTGTAGCTAATAGACTGCTAGCTTTTATAGTTATTAGGTCACAGGTGATAATACAAAGGTTAAAGTATTAAATCTAATATACACTAATTTTTTTCTGGTGAAAGGCTTCTGAACTTACACAGTAGACAAATAACTTTTTCTGTAATATGAAATGTTTCTATGCTTGGTTTATAACCAACTTAATATGGTTTTTATTCGTTGTTTGTTTAGATTTTTCTAGTATAATTTATAGTAGTGATTGTTCAAAAACATTTAAATTAGTGATGTAACTCCCCCTCCCCCCAAATGAAACTTGATTGGAACTCCCTGGTAAATATAAGAATTGGGGCAAAAGGCGGGGATAGGAGGAGAAAAATAGAAAGGAAAATGGTGTATGGTATGGGGTGTTGAGGCTTCCCTGAAGGTCAAAGTTTGAAAATCTCTGTTATGGTCTAGTTTTTATGACATCTGAGAATGCCATGACATAGTTTTTTCAATAAAGATGCATTTAAATTGTTCCCAAGCTGGTGATGACTAGAGTGAACATATAAGGAATTTTAAATATCAGTATAAAAACCATTCACCCTAGAAATACACAGTAACAGTAATCTGGATAGAAATGGATACCCAAGTGTTTCAAATAATGAGATCTGAGTTTTGGTTTAGGTGAAATAAAGCTGTCTTAAACATTTTTTCAAAACATTTGCACATGTACACAAAGGAAAAGGGAGAAAGGAAGTAATAAAAAAGAAGACCCTAATAAAGATATTGTTGGTTGAAAATCCATGTCAGAAAAAAATGCCTTCAACCCAATTAATAATCAGGAAATTAATATTAAAACTACACTGGATGCTATTTTATATCTACCAGATAGATAAAAATGTATAGAAGTCCACTAGTACCAGTGTTGGTGAGGAAGTGTGGTAACAGGAAGTGCATTGCTGATAGGAGTCTATTAGTTAACATACTCATTTTGGAAAGTAATTTATTGTCGCCTAGTCAAGTTTAACATGTATCTACTCTAGATTTATCAATTTCATTTCTACAGATTTACTCTAGAGCACTAGTTCTCAAAGTATGGTTAGAGGACCTTTGAGGGTTACCAAGATCCTTACGTGGAGTTTTTGAGTTCAGAACTATATTTATTATTTTCCTTTTTCTTTTCTTTTTTTTTTGAGTTGGAGTCTCACTCTGTCACCCAGACTGGAGTGCCATGGCCGCTCCCGGCCACCACAACCTCGACCTGCTGGGCTCCGGCAATCCTTCCACCTCAGCCTTCCAAGTAGCTGGAACTACAGGCGCGCGCTACCATGCCCGGCTAATTTTTGATTTATTGTAGAGATGAGGTCTCGTCTGCCCAGGCGGGTCTCAAACCCACGGGCTCAGGCAATACACTCACCTCGGCCTCCCAAAGCGCTGGGATTACAGGCTGAGCCACCGAGCCCGGCCATTATTTTCCTTTTTCATCCTCATTCTGTTATAACTATGCAGTGCAATTTTCCAGAAGCCACATGAAGTATGATAAAATTATTGCTTGAACAGCTAATGAAATGCATGCTTGTATATTTATATGTTTTAAAACTGTATCAACTTTAATACAGTTTTCATTTCAAATACAGTAATTATCTGTGGCTATAACCCACATCAACAATAGCCTTTTAGAATTTTCTAATTTTTGAATAGACCCCTAAGACCAAAAAGTTTGAAAACCACTGTCCTAGAGCCCCAGACCATCCACATCTGGAAACTAGTTAGAAATATAAATTCTCAGGTCCTATTCCAGACCTGCTTCAATCAAAAACTCTGAGAATGGGCCCAGCCTTCTTTATTGTCACAGGCCTTCTAGGTGAAATGCTGATTGGTGCTGAAGTTTGAAAACCACTGTCCTAGAGAGATTTAGGGACCACATTTAGGAGTGTTCATAGTAGTTGTATTAATAGCACAAATTTCAGTGCAACCCAGATGTCTAATGTAAAATGGATCAATTGTGGTATATTCACATACAAATAAAGCAGCAAAAATGAATATTGATATACTTATCCACATGAATTAATTTTTAAAAATATTATCAAGGGAAAAGAACAATTCAACAGAATACATACAGATTCATTCCCTTATAGAATTTCATGAATTTGTAGAAACTACATATATTGTTTAAGGATATATATTCATATGTGATTAAAAACTATATAGAAAAGAAGGAACGCTTAACACATGCCTTGTGGGATCGAGATCCAGGAAGGACACACAGGAAGCTTCAGTGATATCATTAATATTCTGTTTCTTGAGCTGGTTGTTTATCTTATTTCTTTAAAAAATTTGTATATTTATATATAACATTATGTATACATATCAGTCATGTACCCTTTGACACTGTGGTTTATTTCATAATAAAATATTAATAAATTCTAAAATGGACATAGTTTGAAATGACTAAATAATTCGTTTTTAGTTTTGAATCACAAAGAAAAATAACTTGGATTATATAAAACTTTTTATATAAGCAAGAGACAGTTAAAAATCCCCCCTTCCCCCTGGTTTTTGGTTTGTTGGCTTTTTGAGTCAGTGTCTTAACTCTGTCACTCGTGCTGGAGTGCAGTAGGGCTTGATCATGTCTCACTGCAACCTGACCTCCCAGTTGATCCTTCTGTCTCAGACTCCTGAGTAGCTAGGACTAAGGAGCATACCATCATGGCCAGCTAATTTTTTGATGTTTTGTAGAGATGAGTTCTCCCTATGTTGCATAGGCTGGTCTCAAACTCCTTGGGTTCAAACAATCATCCCGCCTCAACCCCCTAAACTGCTGTGATTACAGGTGTGGGCCACTGCACCCAGCCTAGAAATCCCTTTACAGAGATTTCTATTAAAAATGGTTAAAGGCTTACTTCTTAATGCTCTGGAAAGCCTAGCTGTCCAAAATTATTCATTCATGAAGGCTTTTAAATAGATGATTATTTTAAAACTTTGTTTCTATTTAGAAAATGAGTATGTGGATGATTCAAATAATTAGTGACTGCCTATGGTTTGGGAGTTCCAAATTGTTACACATCAGCACTTCTTTTAATGAACAACCCCTGCTGTGCAGTTTTATCTAATACCTTGTATGACCTCTAAGATTAAAGTAGACAAGTGAATGAAGATAAACTAGGATGCTGATAGTGTTTGGTGTTTGGGTGGGGCAAGGATGATAATGTTAATCCTGAAGTTAACTTTGGAAAATATAGTTAACCTTAAAGGCTTTCAGCACTACTCACTTTAAAAATATTAAACTTTTGAAATTTTAAGTATTAATAATTCTTTTTTCAGTTTAGATATTAAGTTCTGTATATAAGCATGATAATTAAAAAGAAAAAAGCAGATTGCTTTGGGTGTAGACTAAAAAAAAAGTCCTCCAATCATGGAGAAAGATAATAGATTTTCTAAACAAGGAAAAAAATGCCATATTATAGAGTCTAAAAATCGTTCTACTTTTGTCAGTTATAAAAATTTAAGTGATAGGTAGTGTTAATTTTAAAAGTTTGGAGCAACAAAACAAATGTGATATATGTAAGTTATTCGAAAGTAGCAGTTGTACTACTCTTAAAAATGATTCTACTGTGATATGTATCGATACTAATAACTGCTAATGCAGTAATGACCTAAAAATAGTAGTAGGTGAAATTTTATCATTTAAATTGGATTTGGCTATATAGATAATCTGATACTGTGAATCAAAATTCTGAAAACTTTGGCAATGGAAAGAAAAGGAGGAAGTTTGTGAACCAGATACATCTAAAGACTGACACTTTGCACCTCACACTATCTTGGTACTTCCGTTGTTGGGGAGACAGTTTACATATAAAAGCCATATGTCAACGCATAAATTTATATGTAATATTAGCAAATTACCATTTGAGATTATACTTATTTAAATAATTGCTTAAGTACCTTTGCAGCTTTCCACACAGCTGTTTTTAACTTCAGAGAGAGTTATTTGACTTTTATCTTTACTTTTCTCTTTCTTTTGTGCCTTGATCTTGTAAAAGTAATAGATATTTCTTGCTGAGAGTACCCCACCCCCTCTGTTTTGCTGCCTGAGGTGATTAAATGCTCAAGTCTCTTTGTTGGTTGCCTTTGACTAATGCTTTTCAGCAGCCCCGGGCTCAGCTCCTGGTTCCCAGTTTGGCACAATGACCAGGCAGATATCTCGACACAACTCTACCACTTCTTCGACATCTTCTGGTGGATACAGACGAACTCCCTCTGTGACTGCTCAATTTTCTACTCAGCCTCATGTTAATGGAGGTCCACTTTATTCTCAAAATTCAAGTAAGCTTGTGCTTTGCAGGCATACAGCAACAGTGGAGCTCCTCTTGAAGAAAATTATTTGAAAATGTTAATCTTGCCAGTGATAGACAACAATTGAAACCAGGCTATTTTATGTTTATTTTTGTTTTAGAATATTAGTCTTTGAATCATACCATCTTAAGAGTAATTGCTTGCATTCTCTTCCAAAATTCAGACTTATTAAGCATACTTAACTAAATTTATCAAAATCTCAATATTGAGCATACTACAATAATGCTTTAATGTGCCATTCTTATTACTATAAGAACTAGAGAACAAAATCATCACTGAACTAAATTAAACAATTTGTTTTTATTGGCGTATTTGATACAGTTCAGAAACAGTAAAACAAAAGACACAAATATTGTGAAAATTTTCCTTTAAAATAATGTAATGAAATTGCTGGCTATCACTTTTAAGGTCATTAACCTATACCAAAATGAGTTCAAAACCAATTAATGTTTTGTGATGCCTGCTTAATTGCTCTGTCTCTGAATAATTCTAATAGTGGGAAGGATTTTCTTTTGATTTCTTTCTGTTCACCTCAAATTGCACATCTCAACACTAATTGCAATCAGTGATTAAAAGCTGATAAGATTAGAAAATAATTTGAGCATATAATGTTAGGAAGTTGGAATAGCTTAGGTTACTCATTAATATCACTTACTGTATTAGGATACTTAATGCAAAAAGAAAAGAGAGAAAAATCAGAAATGAGACTGTTGTCTAGTATGTATTTCTCATTTGAGTTGTGCTTACTGAGACATGCTTTCCCATGTACCTTTTGTAGACTCTACTAGACTAGAGCTGCATATTAGTTTACATAATAACACAGTATACTCACCAAATTCTTCATATTTTACATACATGGTTGGTTTAAAGTCTATATGCTAGAGGGTAGTTCCCTTGTTATTTTATTTTTTTGTTTAAATTTTAGAGTTAAGATTGGGTTATAGCAAAAACTGAGAATTGGAAACCACTTTAGCAAAAATGCCAAAATTCACAGGCTATCCCAAAATTTATATAATTTTTTCCAGACTAAAGGATTCAAGCTACTAAGAAGTATTAAAATTTACCAATTAGAGTTTTACCTCACATTTGGTATTAAAAGGACCAGTGTTTGTTCACAAATTATCTAATAATTTAACTCACTAGTTTGATGAGTCTTAATTTATTTAATATTTTGAGTTTCTAGATCCCATCTTTATGTTCATTGTTTTTCTTTCCCCCCTTTGGCACTTAATTTACTCTGCAAATAGGATTTTTTAGTGACTCTCTGCATAATACTTGCTTGTATAATTTTATTTTAGCAGTACTTGGGTGAGTTATTTTTATTTATTTTTATTTTTGGATGAGTTATTTTTAAACAAGGTACTTTCATTTCTGAATGTCTGCATTCAATTGACTATTAGAAAGCAAATTTGGCCTCAAATTTTAAATATATTGTTTTACCAAATTAATTATCCTTCAATCTGATTTACTATCGGTATTGTTGCAGTAATAGTAGTATGTAAATGTTCTTAGTGTTTTGATGTGCGTATTTCCTTCTGTCTAAATGTGGTGGTAATGATTAGTATCTTCACAGCATAACTTTTATTTTTCTTTACATACTAACAAGCATGGCTAGTTACTAAGGGTTGTTTCTAAAACACTTTTTTAGGTTTGTGGGCATTACTATCTTTTTAAATCAAAACCTCTAACCTTCTATTATTTAAGAGCCTTCTATATACAGAGTATCAGAATGAAAGAGGACAAATTTCATAGTGAATTGAATGTTATTTTTAGCTGTGCAATGAATATTAATGCATATAATTGCTTTGTTATTTCTTTGAACACTGAGCCTCTTTCAAATTTTTATGCTTACCAACAAAATTTGTACATTGAATTAGTCTAATTGAAACAAATCTTTTGATTAAATAACCCTTGAGAAACAGTAAATTGTTTTACTCTGTCAATTTAGTGTCACTTCGTAGTGACTCTCAGTAAACTAAATTTTGTTATCTAGTCCTGTTGACGTTTTCTGATTAATCTTTGACAAATACTATCTTGCTAAAATGAGACAAAGTCATAAACATAAAAATGTTTACTTCTAGTGTGTGTTATAATTTTTAGTACATTGTTGCTCACCTGAGCATTCCGTATCAATTTCCTATGAGTTATATCCTCTTCAGAAATAAGTTTGAATATATTTCAAGTTATCCAGTGATACATTAGAAATTACGTTAATGCAAATAATTCATATTTTAACATATTGGAAACCAGGTTTCAGAACACTGATTTAAAAAATCAATTTTGCGATATCCTTTGAAACTTTGAATAATTAACATGGTAAATGAGCACTCTTACTCCCTGGTAAATTTAGAAGTGATATCTTTAACAATACTATTGCCAATTTAAAAAATAATGACAATCTTGTTTTATAACCAAGAGTTTTTCCTGGAGAGTTGTATGCACATTTAGAGATATAATCGAAAGGAAGCCTGTGATCAATGTATTTATTGATATGAGATAAGCCGCTATTAAAGAATATAGTTTATTTATTTTGGTTCTAATTTGCAACATTGTCTTGAAGCTACACAAACCTGTTAGTTTATAGAGTTAAGACAAAGAAAAGATATTCTGGAAACCTGTATAAGCATTTCATTATTACCTATTTTAGAAATCTTTCCTTAGAATTTGAAAATGTTATTGCATTAAAGTGAATGTGATGGTAAATGTAAATATTCCCCAAACAATATAACGTTAGGGCTAAATTATTTGTTATTTCATAAAATTAACCAACTAATTGGCTAAGCACTACTTAGCCTTTAGGTTTGCTTGTGGGAAATGAACTTAAAGAAGGTTCTGTAGGTTTTTGTTATGTTTTTTTGTTTTGTTTTGTTTCATTTGCAAACTGTTCTTTGCATACTTATGTTTGTGGTCCTTGTAACTGACTTCTGCTTTTTGTTTGTTTCCTTTTCTTTCCTTTATCTGTTTTACTTCCCCCATACTGTGTTGTTGCTACCAGTTTCTATTGCTCCACCCCCTCCCCCTATGCCTCAGTTGACTCCACAGATACCTCTCACAGGCTTCGTGGCCAGGGTGCAGGAAAACAGTAAGTTTGGAAAAACTGAGCTATCAAAGAGTAGAGGCTGTCTCCTTATAGCATGCATGGCTGATGAGTCATCATTTTTCTTACTTTTATTGAGAAGCTAATCTTATCTGAAAATAGGTACAGATATGTTCTTGAAACTGAAGAGCACGGTCTTCAGTTTTTTCTCTTGTGTGCATGATTACTGACCCATATAAGTTTCAGAACTGCAGGTTTCTTATGTCTTTACATGAGATCTGATCTTTACATATTCTTAAGGCAAGAATAATCAAACACAGAAATTCAAATTGTATGTAAACTTGTCGCTTCTAATAGTTATTAGGGGATAATTAAAACATTTTATAGTCTAACAAATGTATTAAGATACAGATAGTTATACTGTGAGATTGTATTTATTATGAAATTGGTACTGGTTGTTTTCCCCTTTTAATTACAAAAAAAGTTTTAGGGAAAGATTTGTAGGTGCAGATTTTTATAATTAAATGACATTGAACTATGTTCAAGGTTCATTGTTAGGATAAGAATGAATGTCCAAGAATAAGTACGCTGCATCCTTGCTGTTCTTTTAAGGGTAAGAGATAAGCATTGTAGAGCCCTCTTCATGTTTGGCTACCTGTAGGCCATGAGTATTGCTTCTGAATATGAAAATGTTAACTTTTTAAGGTCTTCTCTGAATGCAGATCAGGTTTATTGATTATTAGGAAATCATTTTAAATTTATGACTTTAATCAGCATAGACTAGTTTAATATTACTTGCCTATTTGGAAGTCTTAGAGGATGTATAATTCTAACTATATGAATATAGCGAATGTCATATGGCAAAATGAAAAATACCTCTATTACTAAATTATATTATGCCTAACTGTTGAGATTAAGATGCTAATGTGGTATAGTTTTAATTAACTTCATTTAAGATCATCACTATGAAAGTAAACCTCAGAGTGGTTTGAGCAGACAAGTAACTCACTTGCCTAGCCCATCTTCTAAGAGAATATATTATGGCAAATTAAATTCCTCAGCTTTTGCTGACCCTATTGTGTTATTCTCCCTATTCTCTCCCTTCTGTCAGCTAAATATTTGTTTATTCAATGTTTACATTCAAGGCTCTGGGAAGAATACAAGTAGTTTAAGACAAAGCCCTTTCAAGAAATATAGATCTTGGGCTGTTTCAAAATGTTGAAATTTCTGAGTTTGTAAGCCATTCTTACTGCTAACATCTGTTTGAAAACCCTAGTGTGTTCAAATATTTAAAAATAAATCAATCTTATTTAAAAAGTAGGCGAATAAGGATAAATTAATGATGCAGAGTTTAAAAATGAAGCCACGGCCTCAACCCGCTGGGCTCCAGCCGTTCTTCCGCCTCAGCCTTCCAGGTGGCTGGAGCTGCAGGCGTGCACTACCACGCACGGCTGATTTTTGATTTATTGTAGAGATGAGGTCTCGCCAAGTTGCCCAGGCGGGTCTTGAACCCGCGGGCTCGGGCAGTCCACTCACCTCAGCCTCCCAAAGGTGTGGGATTACAGGCTGAGCCACCGAGCCCAGCTTTTGTTCAGGCTTTTAACTGCCCTTTTATGAAACTATGATGCTATTAGACGGTAGTATTTTTTTGGTGTGTGATGTTTTGTTTTGCCTTTCTGCCTTATTTGGAAAAATAAAAAGTTGTTAACCTTAAAAAAAATAAAAAAAATAAAAAAATAAAAATGAAGCCAGTTCAACCTTTTGAACTGCCATATTGCTAAAAATTATTAGGAAACAATTTTAAATGACCATAATGAACATCAATTTTCTGGGTTCAAACATTATTGAGTAGCTTTTTGATAACTTTAAAAAAAAATCAATATTAATGTATATTATTCTAGGCCCATGGTACTGTGCTAGTTCTTTTTACCAAACAGATGAACTCTAGTTAGTTATTCTTGTGCTGCACATTCCCCAACTTCACTTGGTATCTATTTTCTTAGAGTATGTTAGGAAGATTGGTGGTAAACTGTAAATGTTTTAAATGTTTTGTGAAGTATACATTTTCCATGTTCTTCCCCTAAATATCCATTTTCTTATGGCACTCAAAGTGGGTGCAATGCATGTAGCAGTTACCTAATAATAAGTGTTTTTGTTTGAGATAAGAACCACTAAAAAGTCAGCAATGTGTTTATATCTGTTTATGATTAACATCAGAAAGCATTTTTGAACTAATTACACATGGTGCTAGACAAAGTATTATGCTGAGAATTAGATTGACCAGACTCCTGCTATAATTTGAAGATAAGCTAATGTAGATTTACAGCAGTTGGACATAAAGACAATTGAGTCAAAACATTAAACTAGTGCATTGTATATAAATCAAGAGTAAATGTAGCTTGGAATTCAGGCAAACATTTGTAATATACACATTATGTCAAATTAAGGGTGTGAACTATGGCTCTTTGACATCAGGATGGTTTCATACTTATTTTCCTCTCCTCTCATTAATATGTAAAAGCTTTATGGAGAAAGTATGGACAAAGATAAATTGGATCCAGGCAAGAGATGGCAAGATAAACTGTAGGCCTGTCTGATAGGTGATCGGAGTGAGGATCACCCTACAGATTTGTCTTCTAATGGCCAAGAATTTTTCATCCCCCAAGAGGATATAATAGAAATTATAAAATTGAAGTGGTTATGAAAGTAGGGCTATTATCTGCAAATATTTTAGTTCTGGACCTCTTAGCTATATTTTCAGCACATTTTTCCAAGTAGGGTAGAGTAAACTTTAACGCCTGTAAGACAAATAGGTTAATGCAGCTTTCTTTGATCACATAAGTAGCCTTAGAAATTGGCATTTGAGTTAGTATGTTTGTGTTATGAACTTCTCCCCTGTAGGTGTTATATGATTCCTGTGTCAATTTTTTTAAAAACATTTTCATGTCTTGAATGTTTAAAGAAATTTGTGGATCATAAATTTAAATTAAGCATTAGTTGTGTTCTGACTTCAAATTCTTTAATATTGGGACCATTTACTTATTATCTGGTATCATAATAGTTCAGTGACTACAGTTTCTAGCCTGACATTTTCCCATTTCCCTGTTTACACCTTTGATTATTAAAAGTGCACACACACATATATAGACCATGACCATCTAGAATTTGAGGTATGAGTCATTTTTATTGTTTTGTTTGATATAAGTTCCTTTTTGTTTGTTTTTAATTACATCTTCCCTCAACACTTTATGTTTAAATCTTAATTGTTGATGTATTCTTAGAAATTAAACCTTTAGATCCAGTCTTTCATCTTGTGCTTATGTTTCTTAGCAATAATGGAAAATCTTAGCTTTCTCTCTACATTAAAAATTGATTATGAATATAAACATTTTTGAAAATATTCAAGGAGATTTTCTACTAGTTGAGAGTTCTTTTAAGTTTTTCTTATCTTGTTAAAATTTAATAAAAGAATAGAAAATCTGTACATAGAAGCAGACCTAATACCATTGTGTTCGTTAAAGTACACAATAATCAACAAACAAAAATCTTTTCACAGGAGACTTAATTTCTAGAGAACCAAAGTAATTTAAAGTCCAAAATCAGGGGCAAAAATGAGCACAATGAAACATTATTCAACTTTAATGCAATGTTATTCATATTATTTACTGCAGTCCAAATGACAAATATGATATAAGGTTTATTTTAGGCAGGTCTACTACTGAGTCACATTTGTCCTTACCTTGATGTAAGAAAACTACTCCTTATAGAAAGAATCATTGTTTTCTAACCTCCTGCATTCATTAATTTGTAGTACTTCCTGATTTTAGCTCTTTTTTTAATCGCAAAATTTTTCTTGAGTAGCATAAACTTTAACACACCAAGCTTTTATTTCTAATCATTGCATGTTTTATTATAGTGCATGCTGTATGTAAGTTAGAGCTTTCTTAAATTCTTTTAACCTGGAACTTTCCATGTAGACTAATTTCTAATTTAAATTAATTATCTAAATCTTTTTAGTTGCTGATAGTCCAACTCCTCCACCACCGCCTCCTCCAGATGACATTCCCATGTTTGATGACTCCCCACCTCCGCCGCCGCCACCTCCCGTGGATTATGAAGATGAGGAGGCAGCAGTAGTTCAGTATAATGATCCGTATGCAGATGGGGATCCTGCTTGGGCTCCCAAGAATTATATTGAGAAAGGTAAGGCACAGTCGCTACTGAAGAAAAATGCCCTAATTTTAGAATTATAAAGAACATCTAGTGCAATGTTTCTCAACTTTTTCAATTGCCTTACCAACCAAGATGATGTCTCTAAAACTTACTTCCTATGTTTTGTTGCCCGTTATAAGTGGAGATTCTTTGTTTTTTAAAAATTAAAATTATAGTGTTAGCTTTACTTTCTCAGACTGTATGTTTCCAGCTGGAAATTAACTTGTTGGTTTGTGTTTTATAGATGAAATTTAAAAAATAAGGGCTGGGCTTAGTGGCTCAGCCTGTAATCCCAGCACTTTGGGAGGCCGAGATGGTGGGATTGCCTGAGCCTGCAGATCAAGACCAGCCCGGGCAACTTGGCGAGACCTCGTCTCTACGATAAATAAATTTAAAAAAATTAACCGGGCGTGGTAGCACATGCCTGTAGTTCCGGCTAGTTGGAAACTGAGGCAGAAGAATGGCTGGAGCCTAGCAGGTTGACACTGGGTTGGCCGTGAACGTGCTACTGTACTTTAGCCTGGGCGACAGAGTGAGACTCCAATTCCAAATGAATGAATGAATGAATAAATAAATAAATAAGGCACAAAAAAGGCGCTAAATGACTTCCTGAAGTCATATGTAATTTACTGAAAATTTTAAAAGTTTTATCAGGCTCTCTTAATTAAGACAAACTTTTCATATCTAAATATAAATGATCCCCAATTTACTGTGGTTTAATTTAGGACTTTTCAACTTTAAGGTAGTGTAAAAGTGATTTGCATTTACTGTGCTTCTCTACTTAGGATAGAGCTGTACCTACCATCATAAGCTGTACCTACCATCATAAGTTGAAAATATCATTAACTTAAAAAAGTCGTAAGCCACAAATACCCTTTCAATTTACAGTATTTTCAACTTGTGATGGGTTTATTGGAATATAACTCTATTGTAAGTAGAGGAACATCTGTATTTAAAAATGTGTTGGAGGCAGGGCACCGTGGCTCATTCCTGTAATCCCAGTACTTGGGGAGGCTAAGGTGAAAGGATTGCTTTAGCCCAGGGAGTTCAAGACCAGCTTGGCAACATAGTGTGACCTCTCCTCTAAATATGTGAGGGGGCACTCTAAAAACCCAGAATTTATTTATAAAACATTTATTCTTACATGTTTTAACTTCAGTCACCTTCAAAGTACTTTCTGTTTGATGCAGTACACCTATTGAGATGCTTCTTCCACTGCTCAAAACCATTTTGAACTCATGAATTTTGAACTCATGAATTTTTAGTGCTTTTGCCAATTTTGTTTCACCACATTGGCAATACATTTCCCTTTGAGGACTTTTTTCATCTGGAGAAACAGTGAAATAAAAATAAGTCGCTTAGGGGTAGTGCCATTTTTGTCAAAAACTGCTGACTACACAGCATGGTGTGGGCAGGTGTATTGTCATGGTGGAAGAACAAGTTACCTGTTAGCCACAACTTGGGATGCTTTTTCCGCAAATCATTTTGCAACCTTCTCAAAACTTCCAGATGAAACTTTTGGTTATCTGGAGGAACAAATTCTGAGTGTACTACAAGGGACCTTCCCACCTATTTTTTTCCATCCAATTCTGTGCTGTTTTAAAATCTGTATTTCTATAGAGTTCTGAAAGATGCTTGTGATTTAGTTGATTGCTTTTGGTTGCCTTTGAAATATATTACCTTCTTTTAGTTTTATTGGATTGACTAGCTTTAGCTTCCTGCCCAAAGTTTTGAATATGTGGCAAAAGTAAATTTATTTTGTGAAAAATAGCTTTAAACAGTAAATAACTTACATATTGTTAAGGAAGTCTTGACTATTCTACTATATATTTGTTTATTTGAATTGGGCCTAAAGAAGTCTTGACTATTCTTTCTGTCTATCTGTCTATCTATCTATTTATTGATCTATCGATCTATCCATTTATTTGAGTTGGGCTAAAGGAAGTCTTGACTATTCTACTTCTTTCTATCTGTCTATCTGTCTGTCTGTCTATCTATCTATCTGTCTATCTATCTATCTATTGATCTATCGATCTATCCATTTATTTGAGTTGGGCTTAAGGAAGTCTTGACTGTTCTACTATTAATTATTTAATTAGTTTATTTATTTATTTGAGTTGGACCTAAGGAAGTCTTGACTATTCTACAATCTGTCTAGCTGTTTATTTATTTACTTGTTTGAGTTGGGCTCTCACTATTGCCCAGGCTGGAGTACAATGGCATGATCATGATGATCATGATTAATGGCAGCCTCAGCCTCCTGGGCTCAGGCAGTCCTTCCACCTCAACATCCTGAGTACCTGGACTGTAGGCTCATGCCACCACATCCGGCTAAGTTTTTAAATTTCTTGTAGAGACAAGGTTTCACTATGTTGGGCAACCTAGCCATGAACTTCTGGGCAAAAGCAATTCGGCCTCCCGAAGTGCTGGGATTACAGGCATGAGCCTCCATGCCTAGTGTACTTTATATTTAAATTTCCACATACCCTCAAATAGATATATGTTGTTAATATGAGGATGACAAACTTGAGAAGTCTTGAATTATGTTTTTACCCAAGTTTTCTTATTTGGTAAGCATAGTTACCTTTGATTATAAAAACAGGAGTATTATATAAGTTGACAAATTTGGAATGATATATTGGTCCATACACTTGATAGTAGAGCAAGATTTTAAAATATCTTCACAAATTGGAATAATGATCCTAAACTAGGGCTTAGCACACTTTTTTTGTACAAGACCAGATAGTAAATACTTTAAACTTTGCTGGCAGTACGGTATCTACCACAGCTACTCAACTCTGCTGTTGTAGTGTAAAAGCAGGCATAGACAATATGTGAGTGAGTAGATGTGGCTGTTACAATAAAACCTTATTTACAAAAAAGGAGTGTTGGATTTGTCCATGAGCCATTATGTGCTACCACTAGCCTAAATCAAAAGTTGAGATTTAGTAGGATATTTAAAGCCTTCAGTTGTCACCTTTATAGTCACAAGACAAATGAAACCTGGTTTAATTAATTTCAGTTGAATATATAACAGCTTATGACATGACTACTCCAAAAGCCATATTCTTAGAGTATGTTAACTGAATTTTAGACTAATATGTATACCAATCTGATCATTGTTAGACTAGTAGTATGTCTTATTTTGAGTATCATATTTCAAGTCTTGCAAACAGGAATGCCTTCAGAGAATAATTAGGAGGCTGAAGTATTGGAGGAGGAGAGGTTGGGTAGGAATAGCTTTCTTTTACAAAGGGGGACCTGGAAAATAGAAACACAATGTTTTCTTTCTTTTTTTTTTGAGTCAAAGTCTCACTCAAGTTGCCCAGGCTGGAGTGCAGTGGCATGCTTACAGACACTGCAGCCTTGACTTACTGGGCTCAGGTGATCCTTACACCTCAGCCTTCCAAGTAGGGGACTACAGGCATGCTCTACCGCACCCAGCTAATTTCTTGATTTATTGTAGAGATGAGGTCTTGCCAAGTTGCCCACGCTAGTTTTGAATCCCTGAACCCAGGCAATCCTCTCACCTCAGCCTCCCAAAGTGCTGGGATTATAGGCATGAGCCATAGCGCCCAGCCCAATCTGGTACTTTTGTCAATCACCGTCGGTATAAAAGACATCTGCACCACTCAAAATCTAACCAAATGTGACTCTGGATACAAAGAAATTAATGTTACCAAAGCTAAACAATAATATTAATAATTGATAATACTAGTTAATTGGTTTTTATTATAACACTATTGTCTTTATTAATGGCTTATCTCTAGCAATCAGCTGATCCTCTTGGGTGGTTACTTAGCCAAAAATAATTCTAGGATTATTATTTAATATTATTCTATATGTTTTTGAAACTTGATATGCCATTGAGCACATCAAGGTATTATAGGATTAAAGTGGAGGTAAATGGACTTGTTGAGTCTACTTCACAATGTTTTGTGTAGGGGGAAAAGACAGCCCATCTTAACTTAGCAAGAGATGGCTATGAATCACTACTTCACATCTCTCCTTTATTATGATTAGTCTCTAATTGAGAATAATTATGGGGAGAGGCCATCTTTCTTAGGGGAAAAATGAATCCTAGAATATCTTAAATATCTTAGACACTCCCTGTTTTAAGAAAAGAGACTACCTAGAATATAAATACAATTAAAAACACCTCTATCACATGCCATTTCACATATGCTAGAAAATTATATGTAATTTCAGAATTACTATGCTATAAAGGTAGAGTGAAGGAAATAATTAAGTCCATAAACCAGTTCTTTTTAGATTTCCTTCCTTTTCACAAGACTTTTTTGCAAATGAAGCGAATATGGGTTGAGCATCCCTAATCTGAAATTTGGAATGCTCCAAAAATCTAAAACTTTTTGATTGCAGACATGATGCCACAAGTGGAAAATTCCACACCTGACCTCATGTGATGGATCACAGTCAAAATGTAGGCACACGACACCCAGCTTATTTGACTTGGGTCTCATCCCCAAGATATCTCATTATGTATATGTAAATATTTCAAAATCCAAAATCCAAAAACTTTTCTGATCCCTAGCAACAGGGATACTCACCCTGTAACTTGAACTCAAAAGAAGTACAGATACCATAGGATTGCAGTTCTCAAAGTATTCATAGGTCTTTACCCACCTATTTATACTTTTAAAAAACATCTTATTTACTTTTAAAGTAAATAAACTTTTAAACAAATCTGGGAATAGTCCCATAGGTTAGCACAGATCCTTGCATGAGTAGGATGTGATTTACCTTTCAGTAACTATATTTTCAGATCAGATAGCATGGATTGTTACCAGATTTACTGAATGGCTATGCAGCTTTGCCCAATGGTTGTTTTGAAAAATGGTGCATTGATATGGTAGGCACTTAGTAAATATTTGAATGAGTTGAAACATCTAATAAATCTTAAGATTCAGAGTTCTCGCTTAGATTGCTAGAACACTTGCTGACTTTTTTAGTCTAATCATATTGTCAATTTGGCCCCGAGATCAAGCCAGTGTTTGAAGCACATGGTAGGCACTGACTTACCTATACGAACAGATAAAAGAATTAAGAATCTTCACAAAGAGTTGGTTTTGTTATGGTATAGATTTAATCTGCAGTAAGTTTTAAAATTCAGTTAAATGTTGGATATAGTGTACTCATGTGATATTTTAACTGTTTTCTCCACAGTTGTTGCAATATACGATTATACAAAAGACAAGGATGATGAGCTGTCATTTATGGAGGGTGCAATCATTTATGTTATAAAGAAGAATGATGATGGCTGGTATGAAGGAGTCTGCAATCGAGTGACTGGTCTGTTCCCTGGGAACTATGTTGAATCAATCATGCACTATACTGATTAAGTTTTTCCTTTGCTTTTAAAGTAGGTTCTTATTATTACTCAGTCATACTGTGGGACTATTATGGTTAACAGAATTGTCTTAATATGTTTTAAAATGTGCCCATATTTTCAGGACATGCTGTTTTATTGATATAATTGAATGTCTACCTATAAGCATAAATCTTTGAGGCAGTTTATCTATTGCTAAACAGCAATTTATAGAGGCTGTCCATAACTGATTATGCTTATATACTTAACTTACACATTTTTAACTTTATGACCAGCCTAAATATTCTGGGGAAGTGGGGTATAATATTTAACGAATCATGATTCAGATTGTACCATTACATGTTTCAGTGCAGCATGGTTACTAACGCTATGTCAGACTAATATTAAAATCAGAAAACTTAAGTGCTGGTGCTGGTCATACTTTTTGTTTAGATTCTCTCATTTTTTTTAAAAAAAATACTGTTTGTTTAAAGCATGCATAAAAATTTATGTATTGAAATATACTTAAAAATTCCAAGATGCTTCCAATTTGTGTAGTATTCGCCTGGAGGACTCATACTTTAGGTCTCTTAAAATGAATCGAGTCTCCAAGTTCTCTTTGTGAAACAAAAGAAGCAAAAAGATGATTATCTGTAATGTTGTAATTTGTACCTAAGTTTTTTAATGAGTGAAATTTGCATTATAAATTTTTTCCATTCATAAATACATAAGTGAACCAAAGGTTTTTGTCCTTTCCTTCACTGGTTTGCTTTTAAAAATAAAGAAAAGATAATGATTTATTGCAGAATTATGGTTCTATTTTCTCAATATATTAACTTGAAAAAAAAAATTTAGCCTTATCTCAAGCTGTTCCAGCAGTCATGTGACGAATTATTGCAGATTCCAAATCTGAGCTGGTTATTTACGAGTTAACCTCCTGAATTCCTTTTTTAAAGTAACTTTTGAAGCTAAGAAAATGTATCAAAGTGTGCATATTCATTCTGTACGCAAAATTCTTAAGGACTGCCATATCCGTCAGTTTTACAGTGGACTGTTGTACACTGGTTCAATAAAAGGAAATTATAAGTATCTTTTACATATTGTAAAAGTGGATGCAGTTGATTTGTGAATAGGTGTTATTTAATCCACTACTTGGCAGTAGCAACATTAAAATTTTAAAATAAAAAATTGGGAAAGAAGGTAGGGTCATGTATTAAATCAGTGAACAGAGATATATCTAACCAACAGATTTGTATTGTCTTTTGACATAATTGAAATGCAACACATGCACTTTGTGTGTCTCCTCTTATTTTAAGGGAGGGTTAGATGGATGTTTTCTCTTCTTGTGTATAATTCTACATTGCTTAGGATATTAAAGTAGAAGACTCAAGTGCAGGTTTCTGTGTATTGATGATTTGTTTGGATTTCAAATTAGTTATGTACTGGACATTACAGACTTATAAAAGCATAGTGAATGGTAAGATTAGTACAAAACATTTATTTCTGAAAATTAAAGACCATTATTGCTACCAAATCAATGTGACTGTTCATATGCATTTTGCCTTTGTTAATTTTAAACAAAGTATCATAAGTGATCAGCTCACTACCTTCTACTTTTTATTTTTCAAGTGGATTGTTCTCTTAATTTGTATATATCCTGTTGTCTAAATTTTATGTACAGCCTTTTATAATAAACCATTCTCCTATATGAAATTTTGGATGCTGTTAAAATATAACTAACGTGGATTTAAATGTAGACTTCACAATTTTATGGCCTTTACCCCTATAGTGAAACAAGACAAACCATTTAAATTTTAACATTGATCATTTATTTGTATAATGGCTTTACATGTGGATATTAACAGTGTAAACGATACCACATATAACCATCAAGATACCTCGATTAGAATTTATAGGACTAGAATGACAGATTCAGATCGTTGAATTACATTTAAAAAGTTTTCTGAAAAAAACTTTTTCATTAAAAAAATTGCCCGTCCATAAGGTTCATACTATTTTTTAAAATGATTTTTGGTTATCTGCACATGAAGCAAACAAAGTATATTCCACAAAATTATTTAGGCACAGTCTGGTACAATAGCTGCCAGAAAGAACAGGAAGAATTGTCATTTATCTCTTGTGAGTACAATTTCTGAAAGCTGAATGAGGGCATCTCTTTCTGGGGATGCTCGAAGTTTACTGATCTCTCTTATTGCTTCCTGGCAGTAGCGCTGGGCGAGGTAGGTTGTTTGTTGTACACCATCACTCTACAAGACACAGAACAGATGCCTGTCACTTACTGAATCACCTCTTAAATTGCTGCTGTAAAGGATAACATACTTTTGAGATCAGATGAGCTAAGGGTGAATCATCTAGTTAAACAGTCAAACTACGTTTCTAATATTCTCATTCCAACTCACTCATAGTGCTAGCTTCCTTTGCCTACTTTTAGGCCCTTTTCTCATGTTAAAGCAAACTTTTATTGTACTAGTATGCAAAGCAACTAATTTATGTATATTAAGTAGCCATCTGTTTTCCCCTATTTTTTCTTACAGATTATAGTTTAAAAAAAAATTCTAGAAATATAAAATTACTTCATACAAATTTTTAAAATGAAAAAACCTAAAAGTAAAACTTAAAGAACCACAGATAAAATAAAACCAAAGTACAGAAGGGCTTATATTGAAAATCAACAGTTCCTTTCTCCCAAAGACTAGCTTTAGCAGTTATTTCTTGATTTTAGTTATAATCTGTTACCTTTTTTGTTAGGATGAGGATTACTTAGCCCACCCATAGTGTGCCACTAAATTTGATCACTATAGTGCTAGCTTTAGTTATTCTGTTGATTACCTTTGTTATCATGTAGTATCAACTTCTGATTTTATCTTGACGAAAATACCAGTCCTCCTACCTTTTCCTCTAACTAGACCATTTCATTATAGTTGTTTACATTGTAGATGTAACCATGTTTTTAATACTAGTTCTTTCTAAAAGCTGTATACTAACACAATATTTATCATTTCTGCGATATGAAAATATTTGCTGTGAAATCAAGTCATAGACTATAATTTTATTTCCTTCTCCATGGCTCATGATCCCTCTGTCATTTAGGTAGAATATTTCTAACCTCATGGTTGAAAGGTCTCTGATTTTCTTTTCTTTTTTTTTTGAGTTGGAGTCTCACTCTGTTGCCCCGACTGGAGTGCAGTGGCCGCTCCCGGCCACCGCAGCCTCGACCTGCTGGGCTCCAGTGATCCTTCCGCCTCAGCTTTCCAAGTAGCTGGAATTACAGGCGCGCGCTACCACACCCGGCTGATTTTTTGATTTATTGTAAAGATGAGGTCTCGCTGCCCAGGCGGGTCTCAAACCCGCGGGCTCCGGCAATCCACTCACCTCAGCCTCCCAAAGGCGCGGGATTACAGGCTTAGCCACCGAGCTCGGCTTGGCCTCTGATTTTCTATACTTACCAACTGCTCAAAGCATGACACATTTTATGGTTTGCTGCCATTTTGTCAGAAGCCCACCTTATCGTTCTTGGTGTTTCCACACATTTAGCTGAAGTACATCTGCAAATAACGTACCCCGAAAGTGTGTATGGGAAGTCAACTTTTTTGTTCTTATGTGTGATGACTTTTCTTTTGCATTCAGATTTAATGGATGGTATAACTAAGTATAGAATTGTAGGTTTAAAATGTGTACTCATTATTTAGAAGGCCTTGACCGGCTGCCTTTTAGCCCTAGTGTTTTTGCTGTACACCGAGCCAGTTTTGATACTTTTTCCTTGTGCAGGTGACCACTTTTTTGTATTCTCTTCCTGAAACATTTGTTACATGATTGTACTGTTCCTCTTAACTTTTCTTTTTTTCCACCTTTCCCTTTACACTTTGGAAGATATCCTCAATTTCATATCGCAACTCTTCTTTGGAGTTAGTTTTTCACAGTCATTTTCAATTTCTTAGATCTTGCTCTTACTCATTAAAAAAAAATCCTGTTCTTGTTTTATGAATCTTGTTTTGGAACCTCCTATTTATATTTTTCCTGAATCTCTGTTTCTGTCATCCTGGTCTCTTTTGTTTAGCAAGCTTTAAGCATCTCTTTAGGAATCCTGAGTTGTCCATTCACATTTAATGAGGGAATAGGGGTGAGAAGCTCTGTGGGTGAACAGGGAGCTAGAATTTAGAGGCCTCTGGATAACTTGTTTAGACAACATTCCTGTGGAGTTTTTTCTAAGTCCATTTCTTGCTTGGATTGCTGAAACTTGGCTATTTTTCATAAGAGCTACTATTAATTTCCCTCTTTTCAGTCCCACTTCTTACTCAGTTAATACCTTCAGTTAATACTCATTTTTTCTGAAGCCAGACCCTTTCCCAGGGATATTAACTTCTTTATCACCTACAGCTCCTTCCCACAGTCTTTATAGTAATGCCAGACCATCCTCAAAAACGTGAATTATGATGCTTAACAGGTCAGTTAAGAGAGAAATATATCCTCTTGAGGGGAGATGGGGGTTGCTTTTTAAAATTTGTAAAAATGCAAAAGGTAATTATTTGGAATTCCTTCAAGTGTTGCACTAAGTATAGGGCTCAGACCACATGTGCTTACTAAACAATTGTTTGTTCACTCCATCTCATTTACTTCATCTGCTGGCTTCAACTTATTTTGACCTTGGAAATAGCTCATTCTCAAAAGGTAGTCACCAAAACTGAAAATGGGTAAAAAAGATCTGGCTTCTACAGTGGATATGTTGCAGTATATCTGAAACAAGCTACTAGCCCTTGAACACGGTTAAATGGTTATCCCTTTAGAAGAAAAACATTCATACAAATGTATAGTTTGCCTATGTTGGTTTAAATTTGTTTTTAGTGATAATTTCTTTAGTTATACCTTTACCACAGTTATATAGGACAGTCTACGAAAGACTAATAATGAATAGACTGCTGTAACAGCCTCGTTGCAGCAAGGCTGAGGGCGTGGAATAGTCTGAGTGACTGACAGTGATAGGGAAGACTGGCTCCAAACCTGGGTCTCAACCCTGCTGCTCAGTAGAATCATTAGGTAACTTCTAAAAAATATTAAGGTCTAACTTTTACTTAAGATTAAGTAAACTAAAATCTTTGGGAAATAGTCTAGAAAAAAAGGAAAATTAAAAATAAACAAATGATCTTTTTCCCTTAATTTTTATCAAACCTTAATCTCGTATCTAAAATTTAATTTTTAGTGAATGTTACATTATTTGTTTGGTTAAAGGACTTTGCTACACGGTACCTGTTGCTGCCTTTTTCTTTTCTTTTTTTTTTTTGAGTTGGAGTCTCACTCGGTTGCCCAGACTAGAGTGCAGTGGCCGCTTCCGGCCACCGCAGCCTCGACCTGCTGGGCTCCGGTGACCCTTCTGCCTCAGCCTTCCAAGTAGCTGGAATTACAGGCATACGCTACCACGCCCAGCTGATTTTTTGATTTATTTTAGAGATGAGGTCTCGCTGCCCAGACAGGTCTCGAACCCGTGGGCTCAGACAGTCCACTCACCTCAGCCTCCCAAAGGTGCGGGATTACAGGCTGAGCCACCGAGCCCAGCTGCCTTTTTCTTTAAAAAATAATCTTACCTGTAGTACATACTGTCGAGCTCTGTCCACATCTCCGGGCAAATTGAACCGCCTCATTATCATGGCATTCATTTCTGGGAACTAACCATAAGGAAACAAAATCTATTTATTGTTCTTAGTTTGCACTATAGGAAATAAGAAACAACAAAAAGACAATTTAAATGTCTAAATGGCGTGGAGCAATAAACTAGCAACTGAAGAGGCGAGAGAGTGACATCCATTGTCTCTATGCCTAGGCATTGTGGTCGTGCACAGAAGCAGCCATTGGTCTTTGTTCTGACGTTCTATCCTTGAACCAGTACTCAGTAAGAGAGGCAGGAGAAACAAAGCTACATCTTGAAAATAATGTAGTCCTTAAATTTCACCTTGCATCAGGATCACCAGTACTGCCTATAGGGCCTGTCTCCCCCTGAAGTTCCCAGTTCAGTAGGGGTGGGGCCTGAGCATGTATTTCTAACAAATTCCTGGGTCTCTGGTCTCTGTTGACATTTTGAGAACCATTGGCCTAGGGTGATGGTGGGAGTTAGGCATTCTATTTTAAGTACTCAGCTGAGTGCCGTTTGAAAGCTATTGAGGTTTCTGAGTAGAGGATATTATTATGAGCAGAATGCTCTGCCTTAAGAGCACCTAGTGGATTTGCGCAGCGGTGTGTAACATTGACTGCATACTGGGATCAATTTAAATATAGTTGCCTGGGTCCTATTCCCAAAGATTTTGGTTATACTGGCTTGGCCTGGGCATCAGGATTTTCAAAACTCCCCAGGTATGTTTAATGTGCAGCCAGGGTTGAGAACCACTGAATTTGAGAGGTAGAGATATACCAATCAGGTTGCTATAGTAAGTTATAAAGACCAGAAGTAAGCTGATGGCAATATGAGGGTAGGGTGGAAAAAAGATACAAAAGGCACTCTCTTCTACAATGCTAAACAACTGCTTAGGAGAATTGCCACAATTAACAGAATAAGGAAGTCAGGACACCAAATCGCTTTACTTCCTAGATTCAAGCTTTAATCCAGGTGCTGCCACCAGCTGCCACATCTGAGTTGTTCCTTAGCCTCTTGGGTCCTTGCTTCCTCTCATCTGTCTCTTGATCTGAAATCCTTGAATTCTAATAATCTGTGATTCCATGGAATAAGAAGTGAGGTGTGTTTGGTCTTGACACATCAGTGCTTACAGCAGTTGTCATTTGTTTCCCTGGCAGTGAACCTGAAGGATGAAGTAAATTGCTGTCCTATAATCATCACCATGGTATTAGTATTCCCAGATGAAAAAATAGGGCAGGCATAGAAAAACTGTAACCAAATGAGGAAGAATGTGTCAGAGAACTCTAAACATGTAGAGGCTGCTAACATGCTTATGGAATTCAAAGAGCCAGTAACTGGTTAGTTTTTAAATGAAAACCAGTGATTTGTTTTATGTCCTTTAAGTGTAAAATAATTTAAACTTTACAAGAAAGAAACCAGGAAAGCCCCAAGCAATTTTAGTAGCAAAAGGCCAAATCAAGTAGGCATTTATTTTAGATTTTTGATATCACATTCCAAAACTGGATATAGAGAAGGCTGTATCTTCAAAATTGATGTGGTCCTCTCCTGGGCATCTGGTAAAGTTACCTTTTGTGTGTGTGTTTGTCAGAGTCTTACTCTGTCTGTCACCCAGACTGGAGTGCAGTGGCACGCTCTTGGCCACCACAGCCTCAGCCTGCTGGTCTCAGGCGATCCTTCCACCTTGCACCACCACACCCTGCTAATTTTTTGATCTATTGTAGAGACAAGCAAGGTCTTATCAAGTTGCCTCGGCTCGAACCCCTGGCTCTCATAATCCTTTCACCTCTGCCTTCCAAAGTGCTGGGATTACAGGCATGAACCACCACGCCTGGCAAAATTACCTTGTTTAGAGTATATAAGCTTTTTCTGAAATAACTAACAAGTATGGTAAAATATGCTGATTGGGTGGTTTCTCTGATGCTTTTTACTATGAAAAGCATTGAGAAAGCAGAATTTTAAAAAATGTATTTGCATTGAGTGTGACTACATCCTTAGTTCTAAACGTGTAATGTGTGCAGTTTTAATATGCAAACATCAAACTCTTCCCCTGGCACTCCCCCATCCCTTTAATTTGTAAGTGGAGAAAAGATGGGAAGCATAACAGGAAGAATGATCACTGCCTGCAGCTTTAGTGAGAGATGAGAAAATTTTGTTTGCTCAGGCTGTTTTTAAGAGTAGGAAAGCCACCTGTGGATGAATCATGTTCTAATTCTGTGGAATCCATCCATAAACTACCAAGGGTATCAGTCAACTGGAGTGTGCTTACCCAAACAAAACTTGGGTAAATCTCAGGCACCGACTAGTCACCACAATAGCATAAGGCCTGTACAGCTGGTGCAGGGGCTGGTGATGGAAGTTGGAAATACAGCAACAGCCTGACATTTGGGTCTAGTGACTTATCAAATAAGGAAGAGAATCAGAAGAAAGATTTTTTTTAAAAAAAAGATATTTGAAAAGCAATGTAGCCTCACCAAAGAAAGGAGAACATTTCATTTTGTTTCTGAAGATCTAAAAATCTAATCAACGTGAGGTTTTTGTTCTTAATGAAAATATATCACACATATACGTTGAAGGACCTCTCCAAAAATCCCAAAACATTTCTTAAACCTCTGTATCAACTGTTACCAGGAAACCCCTTCAGAGAGATGTTAAAAACAGTAGAATTCCAAAGAGGAAGGAGTTTCTGAGTCCAGCAAATTCTAGTTTCAAGACAACAAATTATACAAAATTAAAAAGAAAAGGTGGTTTCCTGAGATTGCTTGTCCTGGTCCAATGTGCACAAATGAAAACGTTCAAAGACTAATTAGCAAACAAAATTCACCTACCTATGGAAAAAGTTTACAAGTGTCTTAGAAGGAAGGACTCCATTAAATAGGTATGTTAATCATAGAAATAAGTTGACACAGACTGCTCTTTGGGTGTCATCAGTTAGTTACCAGTTACCTGCTCTGAGAAGACCTGTTGGGTATCATACAAGTTTACCAGGTGCTAACTTTTATTAACATTGCCAGTGGCAGTAACAACACATACTGTAGTAAAATGAATGCTGCTCCTAGAATACTTGTTCAGTTGCCTGCTGTGCCATTTACGAAATATTTAATTTTGGCAAGGTTTGAACATCAGTTTCTTATTTGTAGAACAGACACCATAGTATCTACCACAAAAAGGAGTTGTGAGATTTGCGATAATACATGAAATAATCCTTTTGTAAACTAAAAACACATTTTCATTAAATGGATATACTGCACATTCTCATGTTATTCTTAGAACTTGTTTTTCCCAAAATTAATGTTAGTCTCATAAATCTTTTGACAGATTTCTTCCTTAGAATCCCCTTTTTGACAGTGGTCCATGGTAGAGTCTAAACTTGCTGTTGTATTAGAAAATAACTTGGAAATACATATTTGGCTAACTTCTGGCCCATGTGCCACAAGACAGAAAAATCAGTCTACTTTTGAAATGAGTCCTGTCCAGAGTTACTTCCTGCTTGGACTCATTCTGTGTTCCCTTTTCTGCAGTGTGCCTTTTAAACTCCTTTTCCTGCTGCTTTATGGGCAGATGAGAAAAGTGCCTGTCTGGTGAGGATGAGTCTGTGCCTCATGACTGGGATTTCCCCGTGAAGCACACAAAAAACTGTGGTTTGGGGCACTGGAACCTTTTTTTGTTCCTTTTTCCCCAGTCTAGCATTTTTCAATCTCTTACAGGTTAGTATCACTGACAGATAATCAATATATAGGAGAGGTCCATACACTCTACCCTGCTTGGCTCCATTATATGTGAAGGCAGAATTAGACATTGCTTCTTTGTGTAGAGGAAAGTAAATTCATTTTATCTGAAATATATCAGAAGGGGCCAGCCTATTCTCACCCAGTCACTTATGGTTAAAGTAGGAAGCAACTGTTAACTTAGTAAGTCATAGGGCTCATGACAAGTATTTATAAAGATTTCTAAAAGTATAGCAATTAAAACTCTTGAGTACATTGTAAGCTTCTTCAGGGAAAGGCTTTTTCCTTAGTTTTCCTAATAATCTCAGAGTCCAGCTAAATGGATCTTGACCAAGCTAGCTGATTTCAGCACACACAGTCCGTCTTACTATTCTTTACTCATGTTTACTAATGAGCACCTGAGGAGTAGATTTATGTTTGCAGTTGTATGATTAATTTTTCTAATCTCTGGCATAATTTTACATTCACATGGCTCATACATAACTTTGTTTTTTGTGGATTTATGGTAAAACAGAACATGTTCCTCACACATGCCTTAGCGTATGGGATGGGGGTCTTAAAAATTTTTGTCAGAACTTGGCACACCGATTAATAAGCTCCCCGAGTTCTGGGCTGGCAGGTGGATGTCACTGAGAGAAAGGACTGATTTATAGCATAACTTTTACTTCTTGGCCTCAAAAGTTTGAGAGGATGGAGCCTGGTAATTGTGAGGAGAGATGTTCCTACAAAATGCCCTTATTCCTCAGTTGACTGCAGTCCATTAGCATGTTGCTCAAGGTAACCTGGCCCAGCCACCCAAGACAGCAGTCTTCTCTGGGAAGAATCACCCTAGCAATGGCTCTGCCAGAGAATAGATGAAAGATGACCCCCCCCATCTTGAATCAGAGATCAAAAGCAAGGTCACTAGTTTCTGTATCAAAATGGATTCACTGAGTTCTATGGAGGACATGATTTACCTTTGTACATTTTTAGAAAGAATCGAGGGTTAATTTCTGAAAGACAAAAAGTTACTGAAATTTTAGATCAAAGGGCTAGTTTGTCATTTCTTGGCAATGGTGATGGACATCTTACTGCTTTGCTAAATAATGAATTAAATACCACTAAGATGAAAATCTATGAAAAAGATGCTAATCTCTCACTATTTCAAATAACATTTGGTACAGCCAAAAGCAATATGGCCAGGGTCCACAGCGGGTTGTAAAATGTCTGCCTTGTCAGTCACTACAGCGTCTTTGAAGCTTCCTAAGCCTTTAAGCCTTTCATCCATATTAAGGAGAATCTGAAGGCAGCTTTACTTACTTCCTTACTTGATAGTACCTCGATCTGGAGGAAGAAGGAACTATGTGGTTCTAGTGCATTCCACTGACTTCTTGACATTCTGAGGCAATGGCCGAGGCTCTGAGACCCGTCTCAGAGCAGCAAACAGTCCCTTTAAGCTTCAAGAGCTGGAGAATCTCTCAGAGTTTCTTAAGCTTGGAGGCCCTTGATGCTTCCTGTGCCTTTTTAAGGGGCTCTGAGGAACACCAAGGTCCAGTCCTATAATCAAGATGTGGAAACCATTCACCTTGCCAGTGCCCTAAATACATGGAAATGATCTTTCTACCTTAAGTGGCGCTTCACAGTACACAATGAGAATATGATCTCAGTTAATCCTCACAACAGTCCTGAGAGGAAGATCATAATTTTCTCAACTGTAATCTCAACAGATCAGCAAAATGACTGCCCTAAGTCTTAGTCATAGAGCCAGGATCAAATGTAGATCAGTGGTCTCTTATCCGCCATCTATTGCTTTATTTCAGCCTTCCCATCCGCTGAGCCTAGACACATTGGTTCTATAGGGGTACCCAGTAATGAGTTTGTAAAACCTACCTGCTGACAAGCAAATAAGACGGGGCCAGTGGCTAACCCAAGCTTCAGATCAGCTGATGTTGGTTTGCCCATCTGGTCAGAACACGAGGTGAAGTCTAAGACATCATCTATTAGCTGGCAAAAGGAAAAAAGGAATGTAAAAAGCACCACCATGCCAACATCACTGCCACTGTTCTCACTTTATTTTGAGGATTTTACATGGGGGGGAGAATGTTCATGTATCAACCCACTACCATTCTTATAAATAAAAAGCATACCAACCTGAAAAGCTATTCCTACATTTTTCCCGTACTGATAGGCAATCTCATGCACCACTGGATCCGGGCATCCTAGAACAGAAACCTGAAACAAAAAGAATTCTGAGATAAGCTGCTGCCAGGCAGAAACAAGAAGTCAGACATGTATTCCTTTATTTTTTGAAACAGGTCTCCCTCTGCTACCCAGGCTGGCGTGCAGTGGTGTGGTCATAGTTCATTGCAGTCTGAACTCCTGGTCTCTAGTGATCCTCCCACCTCAGCCTCCCAAAGTGCTGGGATTGCAAGTGTGAGCTACCATGCCTGTCCTATTCCTTTAAATAAGAGGTAGCAGGGCTGGATTATGCATCAGGAGATAGGACATCAGGAGACCAAGCATGCGCAAAATAATGTTTTCAGTGAAGGAATTTAAGCTTCAGACTATTTAGCTAATTTCTAGGAAGACTTCCTCCATTCCCCTTTCAGGCGGATAAGCAATCTTTCTCACTGCTTAAGAAAAACTGAACTACAACTAGACTAGTGCTGGTAATATGCGCTAAGCAAACCTTTTTGACATGCAAGAGAAACAGACCTTACCAGTACCCAGCAATCCAGTCCCATTGTTGTTGGCTTTAATAACTCACTGGTTTATCCCTCATTCTAGGGCTAGGTATCTAACATGTATCAAATTATACACACGACACTGCTATGTATTCCCCCATCTGTAGTCAGTCCTTTTAATAATCTTCAGTGATTCCGCTTATTTATGAATGCAGTTATTTCTTGATATGTCTATAACAGCCTCAAGCCTCATGCTTCAGACACAGCATTCTTTTATTATCAGAAGGATCTTCACTGCTCGTGTTTCTGTATATCACTCACAAGAAGTAATGTGACTGTATAAGCTACTCCCCCCTTTTTAGTGGGGGAAAAGTAGGACTTCTACAAACCTTTTTTTAAACTCCAAAAAAACTAGCTGGCACTGGCCACCAAGTGCAGTTCCCACTGCTCTGCTAAGCATGCTAAGCAGGTCCAACCACTTTGAGAAACCAAAGCTTGGGTAAAAACCAAAAGGGGGAAGGGGAGAGACATGTTTTGCTCGACCAGAGAGGAAATGGCCATGATGACTCTCAACAAGAAAGCCAGATGGAGCTGTGCAGTCTCCTTTCTGTAGGGGACACTGATGATAAAGAGCTCTGCCTCTGGCCTTCAGTCCCTACTGCCTCTGTGGTTCTCTGGTCGGACCAAACTTTGCTCTGGCATCATTATGGTGCCACGGTGCAGGCTGTGCCTAAGACTAGCAGGGCTGGATCTATGCCCCTTACAATTACCATGTGACTGTGGCATGTTATTTTATCTTTCTGTGCTTCCGTTTCATTTGTACAACGGAGAAATCAAAAGCACTTACCTCATAGGATTGCTGTGAGCAATAAATGTGATGCTACATTTAAGCCCTCAGTAAAGTGCCTGGCATCATCTGTTAGAACTCAATATATGTTTGCTATTACTTTTTTTTTTTTTTTGAGTTGGGGTCTCACTATGTAGCCCTAACTGGAGTGTAGTGGCATGATCACAGCTCACAGCAACCTCGACCTCCTGGACTCAGATGATCCTTACTTCTCAGCCTCCTGAGTAGCTGGGACTACAGGTGCATGCCACTACACCAGGCTCATTTTTAAATTTTTTTGTAGAGATGAGATTTTGCTATGTAGCCCAGTAGTCCAGGCTGGTCTTGAACTCCTGGACTCAAGCAATACTCTTGCCTCAGCCTCTCAAAGTGTTGGGGTAACAGGCATAATCCCACTGTGCCCAGCTGCTGCTATTATTAATAATCCTTCTCCACCACATTCTCTGGATCCAAAAACAGAAGCCTTGGCAGTGTCCATGCACCTCTGCCAATTAAAGCCAGATCATATAATATCTTCAGCCCTGGGAATCCTTTTTGACAACTTAATGAAGTCTGTCACTATGTAATAAGTGCACAGTAAAACAGCACACACCATAAAAGGTCAGGTGGCCACAGACTTGTGTGTGACTAACAAGCTCATAACTGCTTTCACTAGCAGGCACTGACCCACAGGCTGTCAGGGAGGGACCCCTCAAGACTCCAGAAAGTCTTGTCAGACCACATGGGGGACAATTTAGAAACTTTGAAAGAAGCCAAGATATCTATCAACTTGGCTCAGAGGAGAGTGTGGCAAGATTTGGGCAACCTGCGATATGCTAAGCTCAGAACAGAATGATACTGGTGATGAAAATATTCCTAGGCAGAAATAACTGATAAGGAAGCAATCTCCTGGAGTGAGATTAATGCTGTTTCCTCAACACAAAATCACACATCAGCATCAGAGATGCCTCTCATCTTTCTGGAAGTGGGTGGTGTATGAAGAATGATGGAATCAAAGAAAGCGCAGCTCAACTAATTGTTTTGTTTGAAGCAGATGCCACAGCCAGGCCGTGTTGTGCATATGTGCTTCTTTATAGGGAAGGTTCACACCTTGCATCAGATTGTTATGAGCCTTGTCTCAAAAAGACTGGGAAGACTGCAGTGGCGGGGTGAACACTTGTTATTTTTACACTTTTCAAGCATCTCTGTCTTTGAAGTATATGTTTGTGCCACCATAGGTTAAAAAAGATATTCTGATATCTATATAATTGTAGCCTTAGTTATTAAAAATGGTGGAGTGTATAGGAACTCTACCATTACAGACAATAATAGTAAAGCAGGGTATTGTCAAAAACCAATTGAAAACACCGAGGAAATATATGAGACATAAAATCACAGACAAAGAGCTATTATTCTTAATATATAAAGAGTTCTTACAAATTTGATGGGAAGACAAAATCCTCCCTAGAAAATGGGGAAAAGGCATGAACAATTTTCAAAAAACTAAAGATATAAAAATGGCCCTTAAGCATCTGAAAAAAATGTTGAACCTCACTCAGAAAGGAGAGATGTAAATTCTAACTCCACTGCAGTACATTCTCATCTCTCAGACTAGCAAAAATGCAAAAGTCTTACACCGCACTCAGTCAGGATATGGGGAAAGAAGCAAGACACCTTATAAACTGGTGGAAATGCATACTGGTACAACCCTGAAAGAGGGACTCTAGTAGTGTCCAAGGATACTGCGTATCCAATTACCCCTGAACTTACTGTGAGGGTATACCCCTCACAATACAAAAATATGTTTATACAAGGTCAGTCATTGCAGTATTACTTGTAAGTGAACAATACTGGAAACCTAAATGCCCATTTATAGAAGAGTGGCTGAATAAACTATGCTAGGTCTACACAGTGGGATATGATACGGCTGTCTTAAAAATGAGGACGATTTCACAAACCAATATGAAATAATTTTCATAATTGAGGAAGGCAAGTGCAAAAGCAAAACAGAGTAGTCCAGTATACTACCACTTGCAAGAAAGAAGGGAAAATAACATACATGTGTCTCCTTATTTGTGCAAAAAGAAACAGAGGAAGGAGGAACCAGAGACTGGCTACCTACAGGGAGGGTGGAAAGGATAGGGTGTAAGAACATGGTTAACAGGGTGAAGAGGGAGTTACCTGTTTGCACAGTTCTGACTTTTGGAACTGTGTTAATGTTTCATAAACTCAACAAGTATAACAAAGCCCTCAAATCCAAAAACCAAAATCAGGATACGAGGGAACCCCTACAACAGAATGAAAATGAAACAAACTATATTTCAAATAATAACAACCACACTGAAATGGAGAGAAAGGTAACTTTTGAACAGTGTTTTGATTATATCATCTTCAGGTCCAAAAGGAGCTGAAAACAAATACAGAACTCTAACTACTGGGTTTGTTTTTCATGGAGATAAGTTATTAATTTTGAAACTCTTATGGAATGTTCAGGGATTGAGCAAATATTGTGAATGGGAGCCAGCTCTCCACTGTTGGGAAGGAGGAATACGGAAAGTTAGAATCCTAGAATAAATAGATGGATTTGGAGCTATCAGTGTTATACTTCGTGGTTTAGAACAAATACAAATGGATACAAAGATAGATATACACATACATGTGTAATACATACATGCATTTCCGAGCTCTGTCCATTGAGAGGGACTAGAAACAATGACACTCAAACCAAATGGTTTTTTTTTTTTTTTTTGAGTTGGAGTCTCACTCTGTTGCCTAGGCTGGAATACAGTGGCACACTCATGGCCACTGCAGCCTTGACCTGTTGGGCTTAGGTGATCCTTCCACCTCAGCCTTCCAAGCTGGAACTACAGATGCATGCCACCACACCCAGCTAATTTTCTGTGATTTATTGTAGAGATGAAGTGTTGCCCAGGCTGGTCTTGTACCCCTGGGCTCAGGTAATCCTGTTGTCTTGACCTCAAAGTGCTGGGATTACAGACTGAGCCAACGCATCCGGCCACCAAATGGTTTCTAAATACCATTCTCCAACAGAAGGAACTTGAACTCTTTGAAAAAAATGGTAGGTCCCAGGGCTGGGAAGTACCAGATGAGCCTGGAATATTTCCTGCCAGAAACAAAAGAAGTGATGAAAGAATGATGGGGACATGTGAAAAGGATGCAGGAGCCAGGCAGAGGAGCCTCTCCCATGGCCAAATATAGGACAATTGAGCATTAAAATGAATAATGATAAAGAGCTATAATCCACAGAATAAGAGTCCAAGAGCCCATTCAGATAAGAGTTTCCTTACAGTAAAATACCAACTCTGTTGTAGAAGAGTGATGTCAAAGGACTGATGGAATTAGAAAACTGTCATTTGGCAACCATCATAGTAATAATAATTGCCTCAGGAAAGAATCATAAATAGATGCTAAAACCAGAAGGTGAGAGTTTGATGAGAAACTGAATATATAATCCGAAAATAACTTCAGCCAAAATAGGTTAACATAGTAAAGAAGCCTGGCAGACAGCACTTGAATCAAGCGATCAAAGTACACATCACCAGGAACAGGAGAGAAAGATAGCATCACTTTTGTTGTTTTCCTGACAAAAATTCACAACCCAAATGTAATCTTGAAATATATCAGATAAACCCATCTTGAGAGGCTCAACAACATGACTGGCCTGCACTCTTCAAAATATCAAGGTAATGTAAGTAAAAAAA